TGCCGTCCTGTGCTCTGGCCCCAACGACAATACTCTCGTGGATTCAATCAACTACACCCTTGACCATGTCAACAAGTGGCTTGAATATAGCCCCTCACAAAAGCTCTGCCATTCTCTTTAGGAAAACATCTACTCACCGCCCCTTAAATAACATACATACAACCGGTCAAATAATCCCTTGGGCAGATTCTATAAAATATGTGGGTGCCACATTAGACTACTCGCTAAGCTGGAAAGAACATGTAGACCACGCATGCATCAAGGCGTCCAAGAGGCTAAACATTTTAAGAAGTTTATGTGGTACAAAATGGGGGGCGGACCCCCGAACTCTTCTTCTGATTTACAAAGCATGTATAAGGCCGTTCCTGGATTTTGCAGTCCCCTCTTCTCTCGAGTACCCAAGACCCACCTTTTAAAACTATCAAAAATCCAACACCAATCATTAAGAATTATAGGAGGATACATGAAAACTACCCCAGTTAATGTATTACTAGCGGAAATCGGGGAACAACCACTCCACCTAAGAAGGGAATGGCTGGCTTCCAAGTATCTAGGCAGACTGTTCTCCTTGGAAAACCACCCAGTCAAAGGAAAATTTATAGGCGTCTACTCAGACTACTATGACGACGGAATATACTGGGCAAATAAATCTCCTCCCCCTATAATCTACGCATTGGACTTTTTCCTCAACAAAACAGCCTCGATAAAAACTTCCCCCCTCCTCCCCTGCTTCAATACAAACTTCGACTCCATCACCGTTAAAAGAAAGATCCACGTACCCGCTCTCCAAAAACAAACTGACAATAAACAGGCTTTTATGCATTACTTTCAAAACAAATGGAAAGGCTGGGAAGCCTACTACACGGGCGGCTCAGTCAGCCAAGTCGGAGTTGGGTCAGGAGTTTATAGCCCTTCCAATCAACTAAAATACTCCGCCAGACTCCCAAACCATGCCTCCATAGCGACAGCAGAATGCTTCGCAATTGCTCAAGCTCTGTTACACGCTACAAACAGCCATATCCAATCCGGAAGAAGACACTTCATTATCCTCTCAGACTCCCAAGCAGTCCATAAACTATTGCCTAATTATTTGACAAACAAAATTGTGTATGTTATGCCGGTTTTCCACCAAACGGACAAAACAAAAACAAAACACAAACTCGTGTCGAATAAAACAAAACTGCAACTTTTTGCAAACTTTTTGAAGACTGGCGTGTTTTGCAACAGTTTGAGTTTTGTTTTTCGAGTCCCGCTCGAAAGCGGTAACATCAAAAGGTTTCGACGTGTTTTGAAACTCGAGTCTGTTTAGTGGAAACGGTCGTGTTGTGTTTTTTGTTTTCGACTTTTATTTTATTTTGTTAGTCTGGGTACGAATTTCATACTAAATTGGTAGGTAAGTAAGGAACATATTTTTCTTACTACCTCGACTGAAAATACGTTATTTCGTCCCCGATTCCACGGCAGAAAGTTTACGTTTGATGCATTGGTCAAGCTATACGCGCACCCTCTATAATAGCGGGAGTAAAATTTTTTTAGTCGTGTGCACTAGTACTCAACATATGCAACTCTGATTACGACACTAATATAACCTCAAAATTTGTTTTCAATTTCGATATACACATTTAATTTTTTCCCGTATTTTCGGCCGGGTTGTATTTTCGGCCGAGGTAGTAAGAAAAATAGTATACACTACACGGGCAGAAAGTTTGAGAGCCCTGAACTGCGTGCCATGATGCAGGAATCTCACACTTTCTGCCCTTGTAGTGTAATATACTATTTTTCCAAGTGTATAATAATATTCATATTATATTCCTCATAAGTCAGACTTATTAAGTCTATATAGAAATACTACAATGTAGTTTTTTAAAATTTTGTAACCTCATTTTTAGGTTAGGTTTAACTGTCAGACGACAAAATGTCACCATTATTGTTCGGCTGTCAATAATAATTTGACTTTTGAACTAGTAGTCACTACATTATTGTAGAGTAAAGTAGCCGATTGTGGAATACTGTTTTGTTTTTTTGAAAAATAAAAATGAAAACTTTAAAATTATTATGCACATTTTGGAATATAGATAGCGGGAAGTGTTGCAAACAAAAAACAGAAATAATAAAAATTATAGAAAAAAAAATATGTATAAAAAATAACTTAAAAAAAAAAGTGCACTTTTTTTCTAGCTGAAAAATGGGTGGGTAATGTGGAATACCAATATACGCTAATGTGGAATACCAATATACGCTAATGTGGAATGGGTTTAATATCGGACTTGATATTAAAATAATTTGTTTTTTTAAAATAAAGCAAAAGATTATTGAAAAATAACATACATTTATTTATTCCATTATAAAATACGAAAAGCCTCTAATGTGGAATATTCCACATTCAGACCGTAATTCGTATTCCACAATAGCGACTTTTTAAATATTTGTAAACAATGTTTGTAAAACATTAAAAACAAAATATTAATGAAATATTTACATATTTCACAATCATCCACTACCTACCTTTACGCTTATACACCAATCTTGCAAAAATTTCTATAAATGGAGTCACAATAGATGTTTATATAAACACGTGCAAAAATGTAGCGACCGTTACAATTCGTTTTAAACCAATATTGGCAAGCGACAGCCGCGAAATGCTCTATGGTATTGCTAGGGGTGAAACATAATAGAAAGAGTTTCTGATTAGCGTATTGGAAGATATATGGCGCTATTAGTTTTGCCGCAAAAGAGGTATACCACATTATAGGCAGTATTCCACATACGGCTACTTTACTCTACTAGTTCAAAAGTCAAATTATTATTGACCGCCGAACAATAATGGTGACATTTTGTCGTCTGACAGTTAAACCTAACCTAAAAATGAGGTTACAAAATTTCAAAAAAATATCGAAATTTAGAGCTTGAAAAAAAAATAGTATATAAAACACGGCGGCGAAAGCTTATTAATTACCTCGCACACAATCTACTGCCTCGGCGGCGCGCCGCGGCGCCTCGGCAGTGAAATGTGTGCTCTGCTATAATATGAGCTTTCTCCGCCTGGTCTATAATATACTATTTTATAGATAGAGGATAGAGAATTTGTTTTGTAACGCTGGATAAGTTTAATAGATTCACATATAGGTAGGTATATACCTATATATTAGACTGGGCCAAAAAAATTGACTATTTTTTTTTTGAAAAATATATCGAGAATGTCATTCAGAATGGCAAAAAAAAATTGGTGAAAATTTGAGCCCTTAATATTAATTTTAAAGCTTAATTTTCATGTATCCGTTTGTCCGTTATACGTTTGTACGTTTTTCAATAAAATCGTCCGATAAGAAATGTTCTAATTTTCATGCATCCGTTTTTATATGACGTTTAAACATGTTGGTTCATACTGAAAAAGTGTGTTCTGACATAATCACGACAACTAGTGGAAAAGGACTTAAAACAAAAACAAAACTCGAACAAAACTTAGTTTGCTTGATGGAAACAAGAGTTTCGGGTTTGTTTCAGTTTTGTTTTTGATTTGCAAGTTTTAAAAAACACAAACAAAACCCAAACTCAACTGTTTGTTTAGTGGAAAACCGGCATTAGAGATGTACACTCTTATAGTACTAGATCAAACTGTGATATATATGTTAAAACTGCAAAAAAAACTAGTACTTATAAATCCCTATTTTACAACATTTGGTTTAGTACTGTATAATTCTCTACCAATGCAAATAAAAGAAATAACCAGGGAAAAAACGTTTAGAAGCAAGTTTGTAATTACATAAAAAGAACTTTCCAGTCAAATTGTGATATGTGATATAATTTATTATTGTTATACCTTTGTAGCAGATGTTTTGCTAATAAATCTACTTACTTACTTTAAGTAAGTAAGTAGATTTAGTAAGTTACTTACTTTTAAAATAAACATTTAACAAATAGACAATTAATAAATATTAAAAGTGTTAAATAGGATATCAAAATCAGGTTGCAAGCCATTATTGTAGCTAGAAAGGATATATGAAAAGACCTTTTAAAATTTATTATGATGAATCGCAACTGTTATGGTGTTTTTAAATCTAATATTTATATTATAATCATCAGTATGGTACAAAACTTTTTGATGTAAGTAGCCTGGTGCCTTAAAACGGCTTAACTTACGTACCTAAATCTTTTATTTTACCTTTTTAAAAACATATGATTTTTAATCCTGTGAATTAAACGAATATAAAAATTTAAACAAAAAAAAAGTCTTGGGTCAATGTTTTAATCTTGATATCATTGAAACGGCTCGACTAACATAAATTTTTGATTTAACCTTTTTTTGTAGATAGCAAAATTTTGTTGAATTAAACAGTTTCTGAGTTATTAAATTCAAAGTTTGATTTAAAAAAAACACATGTTTTTCCCATAGAAAACTTTTGTGTGGAGGGTTGGGTTAATACTAGGGAATGCAATATTGGTATACCAAGATCTAGAAATACCAAGATCTCGCACTTATTATGCAAGATTAGTCTTGCACGAAAATCATGCGCGATCTCGCAAGATTTGCGAGATTAGGACGCAGCGCATTCCATGTGTGTTTTGTGCTTTTTGTCATTTTCAAAATATTTTTTAGTTTTTTCAATAAATAATTTTAGTCATGTTTAATGTTTTTTGCTTCAATAGCTTGATGATTATTCGTATATAATATTATATACCACCAGTGGTAAAATTTTACCAATAAATTTTTTGATTTTTATACGTTTTTTTCTTGAAAATTTCGCAAGTGGCAAGTATCCTATGTATTTTTTATTTGAAGAGTTACAAGGTCGGTTAAATTAAACAAAAGTTGTGTAATTACAAGTTTTAAATGGCGTTTAAAAAAATGGATAAAAAATCAGCGGTTCTCAAATAGTTAACTAAACCTGAAAACCTGTCAAAACCAAAAACCATTATAACATGTAAATATTTTATCACTATGACATGATTTGAGTTGCTGGGATTGTATCATTAATTGATATTTTGTTATTTATTTTCAGATTCAAATTTCCATTGACGAAAATGACGACGAAAGTGAAAAATTAAAGAAAATAATGTTCACTAAAGGCAAAGATGTGGTAAGGGATCAAATAGGCAAATACATCTCCGGTTTAAAAGTGGAGTTCTCAAAAGGCATGATTTTACCAAAAAAAGATGAAGTAAAACCAGACAATGTTAAAACCTTGACAAGTGGATTTAACAAAAAAATCAACATGACTCCTGTGGCAATCGAATCTAAACAAATAGGCTTAAAAATTGATACCACCACAATAAAGACTGTGCATAAATTTCAATGTACAGCTCAAGAATTTTATGATGCCCTTACAAGAGTCGAGTTAGTCACAGCATTTACCAGAGGCCATGTCAAATGTGATCCAGTAAAAGACGGCAAATTTGAATTGTTCGGTGGTAATATCGTTGGCAAATTTAAAGAACTAGTTCCTCCAAGCAAAATTGTTAAATTATGGAGGTACAAACAATGGCCTGAAGGGCATTATTCTACTGTCACATTATCAATTGATCAAAAGGTATTTAACGTTTTAAAAAACAAACAACTGTCTCATGAGTCACATAAGATTCATATATATTTACACTACATGTCTATGAGACATATGTGATTCACTTGCATTTCCGTATTCAAAATGCTTAAATTTTTAAACAGTTTATATTAAATTGACGTCTAACTAGAGCGAAATCATATTTGACTCATTGAACTCTGCAGTTAAAGTAGATTTTAGCCAAAATATATTCTATGATTTTAAAACTAAAAAAAAGTTGTGATGTTTTTGATACAAATTTATTTAAATTTAGTTTTGTAAGAAAGTTTACCTGAAATATGCAATAAGGTTACCCTTAAATTTAATTTCATACAAATTATTTTATTGATTCCTAGGGATTTTAGAATTTTTAATAATTCCATAGCAATTGGATATTTGTTAATCTCGTGACGCTAAAAATGTCCAAAGTTGACCCCCTTCCCCTTGTGACAGAATCTAATGATGTGAAGTTCACATTGTGAACGGTCATGTGACGAATTATCCAACCCCTACCCTCCAAAAAAACTCCGATTTTTTTTTTGTATAATCTTATTAAAAATGGAATAAATAAGCAATTTAATTCGATTTATTTTGTCACCTGATATTTTAAAAACCCCCCAAGCCTTGGGCGTGACAAATCGTGAAGGTCATTCCAACCCTCCCTCGCACCTTCCAGCGTCACGAGATTTATGGGCGGCCGACTAAAATTTACTTTAAAAAATAAAAACAGGGTGAGTTTTAAGTTGACGCTTTTAAGCGCGTAGAAATCAAATAGATAAATATTTCAAGTAACTTTTTTATTAATAGTCGAATATAAGAGAGAACCAGTCTTTTAAAGTTTAATTAAATATTGTGGCCGTTCCTAGCTAGTGTTGCATAAAAGCATAACCAAAAAATCAAAAATGACAAATTTAATAATGCAATGAGCTCACAGATATTGTTTGAAGTTGTCCCTGTTGGGGTCGACATTCTGTAAATTAATAACATGTCCACTTCTTCATTATAATCATGAGCCATTCTTAACAGTAATAATTATTGAGGCACACACAATTTTGACATAAACAGAACTAAGATTATATTCTTATACAATAATATAAACATAGGTACCAAGTAAGTATTCTATGTGTATTCTTATGTGGGTATTTTCTTTATTTGAATAGCTAAAATGTCTAGAAAAAAGTTTCGTAATTACACCCCTATTAACATGCAATTTATAAATTTAAAAAAGCCAGCGGTTCTCAAAATCTTTAAAAAAATTGAAAACCTTTCAAATCCAAAAATCGTTATAACTTATTCCTAGGAATTTCGAAACAAAGTAAGTTTTACATACATATTAATCTTCATTTTCATCCAATTTCTTTGCTAGTTGCTGAGTTTGGTACCATCACCATCTTTTGTTTTTATAATGGCCACATAGTTTACGTAGTTGGATACATTGATTTTTTTTCTTTCTAACCATGTAAAATTCCAATATGGTGGCCATAGGAAAAACAAAAGATGGTTGTGGTATCTCAAAATCCAATTGAAAAAAAATCACAAATTGTACAAAAATGTAGATAAATGTGTATGTTTAAATGTAAAACTTACTTTTTCTAAATTCCCAGGAATAATGAAGTTATAATAATTTTTGGTTTTTAGTTTTTTTTTAAATTATTTGGGAACCGCTGATTTTCTCCCAATTTTTAAAAGGCATTTTAAGCTGTTATTATTATACCTAATTAATAGTAGAGAAAAATTGATTGCCCTAAAAAACATTTTTTTTCTCCTTTTTTTTTCGAACCATTAAATCTCTATTTATAGTAAACAAATACTTGTTTGTTTTACAGAATGACCACACTGTTGTAACACTAGAACAAACTGGAGTACCAACTGCAGAAGCTGATGTGACTAGAGGAAACTGGGATCGCTATTACTGGGACGCCATGAAACAGGCCTTTGGTTTTGGAGCCTTTTTCACATAATCAATAATTAGGCACTGTTTTGAAATACAATCCAATGGATTTTTAGATCATGAAAATGAATAGCTAATTTTACATACTTAATACAATTTTTATAATTTATTGTATTGTGAGGGTATTTACAATTCGGTTTTTTTTGCTTTAAGTATTTATTTTTTACAGATTTTTGAATGGTAAGAATAAATAATTCCAAACCGAAATTAACCTTTTATTTATTACATTACAGTTATAGTTTTTGAACACATTACAAATATTTTTGGACTTAAATCAGTAATTTTTTTAGAACATTAATCTTAACTTAATCTTAAGAGATTCTCAAGTACCAAAGTCATTGCAACATATAATATCCATATTATTAACTACAGTTTACTGTATTTATAAATGAACTAAGTAAATTAAAGCCTTAATGTTAACACATAAAGTATAAAATATTGCCTAAATACAAATAAATAGGACTTAATAAAAAAATGCTTTCAAAAAAATCTTAATGATCCTTCTTCTTTGGCTTTTTTGGATTACGAGACCTGGATTTAGCTTTGCACAATGGACAAATTGGCGCATTCCTGTGGATTTGTTGATGACAGCTCAAACATGATTTCATTGGAGGAGGTTGTTGTCTGTAAACAAAAAATCCCAATTTATAATAACAATTTTAATAAATACCTACACCAAGCAACAAAAATAAAATCCTCAAACATTATTGTTGTTGCTCAGTTATTTTATTATCTAAAAAAAACATTAATTAGAAAAAAGTGTCACCTTAGACTAAGATCCGACCTGAAAGTAGGTGTAGGTGGGCCTTGGTGAGAAGTGGGGGCCAAATTTCCCCTGTTTGGATCAGGTTTATTTGTCACCAATCTCAAAGGACTTGGAGGCGGCATAAACGTGGGGGCCATTTGCGGCGCCATAGAATTAATATTTGTGTCTGTTGGTGGTATGGGTCTTGTCCAATCGCTAGTTTTTTGATAACTTGGAGTCTGAGATTTGTTGGAGTTATACAGTTGGGTAAATTTCCTAAAAATTTATTTGGAAAATGTCAAAAATAATATAACAATAAGTACATACTCTGGTGTAATTGAGGTTCCTTCCTCTTCATGTAGCTCAGGAAGGCGATCCAAACCCAAACATTCCCTTCTCAAACGATCAATTTCATTTTTAAGCGGCATATAGTCTTCATGTAGCCTTACAGCAGAACTCATAGACCTGCTACGAGATTCCTCTGCCTGCTTTATAACACCTTCCATCTAAAATACGAAAAATGGTAATTAACTACATTATGAAATAGTGGCCTAGTCGTTTGAGAGCACACAATTTTAGATTTGAAACTTGTTTTGTAAATACTTTAGATGTATAGTATAATATTTAAAAAATATCAACTTAACAATGTTTAGGGTCATTTCAAAGGTTTCAAAAATACTTATATTCCGTTTTGCAAAATGGTTGCAAACTCAAAATACTGTTTATATTGCTTTGTGGAATATTTGCACAATTTTGCGATTTTGTATATTATATACATATATTTTTTTATCTATATTTGATCGTGGCTATCGAAAAATTAATATTTTTTTTCGGAATTTTAAATTTTAATAATTTCGATTTTTTTCATTTTGTAATAGGGTGAAGTGGGGTAAGTGTAATAAAAAAAATGATACCTCAACTTTAAACTAAAATAAATAGAGAACCAATAGAGGTACGGGGCCCATTTTTTGCGAGATTATTGCTTATTTAGTTGTTTAAGAAATGTAAGTAAAACCATTTTTCTAACCGCCTTATTCTTTTATATTTAAATGATAATGCTGGACCGAGTGTGCTGATTACACTTGCCCCAGCATTTGGGGCAAGTGTAATCACGACTCGTAGTTGCTAACTAGAAATCGTGCTAATGTGTCTGGGGCAAGTGTAATTATACAATAAAAAATTCTGATTTTAACGAAATAAAGTACAAATTTATATCTTGTATGATAAGCAAGTTACAAGCTTTTTTGAGGTACATACTAAGGGAATAAAACTTTGGTGTTTTCTTCATTAAAAATCTGAAGCTGTTTATGCTTGGCCCATATATTATAAATTATCTGTTTAACAAGTGCATGATATTTACAAGTAAAAGCAATTACCAAGAAAAGGGAGAATCAATTCTGCTATGACATCTGGAAGATATCAGCCGTCAAGTGGCTGCAACGCCCTCCCCTTTTTGGTGTATTTTCTACCTACTTTTAGTATTTTTTGGACATTAAGAATTTAAACTTAGTCATAAACACAACCATGTTAAAATAAAGTTTTGTTTTTTGTTAAACCATGTTTTAATCGCGCAACAACATTCTCAACGCAACGAACATTATGGTCCTTCGAACCGGATAGTAAAAAATCTAAGTGAAAATAAAAACAAGTGATTATTCGCATAAACAATTAAAATTCAAATCATCAATCATCGAAAAGTTTTGTGCGTGTAACAAGGACAAGGGTTTAAAAATAGTGACTTACGCGAGTGCACACAACAAGCATCTCTAGAAATCAAGACATTAAACGCAATTACTCATCAGCAAAGGATTATCACTCTAACAACATTTTAACTCTGGACCCTAGAAGCACGAAGCCCAAAGTCAACAGTAGCCAACTACATTACAAATCATCAGGTGAGGTCGTTCCTCTCATACATTCATTAGTGCTAATTTGTTGTCGCTCCAATTTGGGATTTTTAACGAAAAGTTTTCTAGAGCTAGGATTGTGCAATGCAATATTATTAAATCAAAATCATATGCATCATTAACATAACACAATTTTACGCATTTTAATCATCGAAATTCATTATTTCATTAATTTTTCATTAATCAAAAAAACTCGCAAAAATGTCAGTTCTTACATCATTTTTTTTAGAAGAATTAAAAAGAAAACGTGGCGCCCTTAAGGCTAAAGTCACGAGTTTTGTAAAATATACATCAAGCATCCAAGAAAGGAATGATCATCTCGCTGACGTAGACATTCTAACCTTGCAAGAACGTTTAAATCATTCAAAAAATATAATTTTCGAGTTTGAAAACATACAGAGTTTAATTGAAGACAAAACAACCGACGAAAGTTTATTGCAAATCGAATATGAAGAGCGCGATACATTCGAATCTAATTTTCATATGCAAATAGCAACAGCAAAACATATTATAAAAGAATCTACCTTATCTTTAGACAATGAGTCCGGAACTAATTTAGTTACGAGCCACCCTGTACACAGCCCTCATGAAATCAATACTTTCAAATTTGCAGGCATAAAATTAAAACCCATTGAAATTCCCAAATTTAACGGTTCTTACCAAAATTGGTTAGAATTTGCGGATTTATTTGAATCGTTAGTGCATAAAAATGAGGCCTTGGATAACATTCAAAAATTTCATTACTTAAGATCATCCTTGGAAGCTGGTGCCGCACAAGTTGTCCGTTCAATTGAATTCACAAGCAGCAACTACATTGTAGCTTGGGATCTTATTCGCGAAAGGTATGATAACAAGCGCCTTTTAGTACTAAATCATGTAAAATCACTTTTTAACGTAGAACCAATGCACGGCCATTCCAAGCCCATGGACAGGACACGTCAGAAACATGTCTAAATATATTCTTGTTACTTCCTTAAGTTTACTTATTTTTTCTACGAATATTTATGAGAAGTATTAGCCAAATTTGGCTAATACTTCTCATAAATACTCGTAGAAAAAATAAGTAAACTTAAGGAAGTAACAAGAATATATTTAGACATGTTTCTGATGTGTCCTGTCCATGGGCTTGGAATGGTCGTGCATAAAGAATCATCATACAAATAACGCAATTTAATCGACACTTACTCTAAACATCTACATTCCCTAAAACAAATGGGCCAACAAACCGATCACTGGGACGTATTACTTATTCACATTATAACAAACAAACTAGATTCATCCACTTTACGCGAATGGGAAAACGCCAAGTCAAACGCTAATAAAGAGGTACCTACCTACATTTTATGATCTTAAAACATTTTTAAAGTCCCGCGCAGATTTATTAGAAACTTTAGAAAATAATCAAGCAGACAAAAGGTCTCATTACCATAGTTCATACAATAATAATTTAAGAGGGGCATTTAATCACACACGTAGTCATTATTCATCTCACCATACACCAAATTCACATTTTAATTCAAATAAACACCCTGTAAATCAAAACAAGAATTTTAACAAAGCGCCTCAAGGCTTGGTTTGTCCCATATGCAAAAATTCCCATATAATATATAACTGCACGGATTTTATGAATTCATATCCGAGTGAAAGATGCGAAAAGGCAAAAAATGCGCATTTATGCGTTAATTGTTTAAAACTTGGCCACGACAGCAGAAATTGTCGTCACATTATTTCTTGTAAGACATGTAACGGGCGGCATCACACATTATTACATATTAATCGCGTTCAAGGCAATGATCGCTCACGTGAAACTACCTCTAATCCTGTCGTTTTAACCCCAATCGAGCCATCTACTTCGTTAACAAATTGTTCATTCTCTAACAACACGGTACAATGCCAGGTAATCTTACCAACCGCTCTAATAAACGTTTATGACAGATACAATAAAATGCATACAGCCAGAGCACTTCTGGATTCCGGCTCACAAAGTTCATTTTTATCTGCCGAATTGCATAATAAATTAGGTATTGCAACCGAGCAGGTTGATTGGACAGTGTCCGGCATAACAAATATTTCACGCAAATTAGAGGAAAGGTGCAATTTAAAATTATCATCTAAAATAAACGATTTTTGTGCACAACTACAGTGCTTCATTGTTCCCCAGATTTCGGGTCATCTACCGTCTGCGCCCTTAAATACAAAAAATTTAAACATCCCAGAGAACTTGCCGTTGGCAGACCACATGTTTGCTAAACCCCAAAAAATCGACATCCTTATCGGAAGTGACCTGTTTTGGGGCCTTGTGGGTCAAAACACCTTTAGTCTAGGTAAAAACAAACCAATAATGCACCAAACATTATTCGGTTGGGTTAATAGTCCTTCGGAGGGGACTTTAAGCCGTCGGTCCGTTCCTACCCCTAACCCGCACAAGCTATTCAGTTGGCTTATGGGACATCTTAGTTTGGATGTAAGGGTGGAACTAAAAGAGCACTTTATAACTTTTAATGAACCCCCCGAAAAATTAGGTGATTCCTATCATAATGCACGAAAGCGATTTTTTAATTTAGAGAAAAAACTTAATTCAAATCCTAAAGTAAAGCAACTTTACACGGAATTCATACATGAATACATTAATCTTGGACACATGAAAAATATACAGAACTTTGATCCTTTTAATGCGCCTCACAAGCAATTTTATTTCATGCCTCATCATTACGTTTTAAAGGCCGCTCAAAACGAAAGTTTTTACGACGAAATACAACAATTAACGAACAATACCCCTGTTAAAAACTCAAGCAAATTAAAAAATTTATCTCCATTTATTGACACAGAAGGTGTTCTTCGCGTGGGGGGTCGCTTGCAAAATTCTCAGTTTTCTTACGAAAAACGACATCCAAGTATAATTGCATCCAATAACCCGCTTATTTTTCATTACTTTCATTATCAAAAATTATTTCATGCCGGGCCGCAACACCTCTTAGCAGATATTCGAGAAAGTCACTGGCCAATAGGGGGAAGGGACCTAGCCCGCCGCACAGTTCATAATTGCACGGTTTGTTTTCGAGCTAAACCAAAAGATATACAGCCCATTATGGGAAATTTACCCGCACAGCGACTATTGCCCGGACCACCATTTGTGGTAAGCGGCGTTGACTACGCAGGTCCGTACTTACTCCGAGACCGAAAGGGTCGCGGTTGTAAACTAATCAAAGGTTACATCTGCATATTTGTTTGTTTTAGTACTAAGGCGGTACATATTGAAGTTGTTACGGATTTATCCAAGGAAACATTTTTGTTAGCACTAAAACGATTTATGTCACGTAGGGGAAAACCCCGACAAATTTTCTCGGACAATGGTAAGAATTTTGTCTCTGCAAGTGCGGATTTTAAAGAACTTAGCTCATTTCTTAAATTAAATAAGTCTAGTATCGTTAATTCATTGTCTAAAGACGAGATAGAATGGAAATTCTCACCTCCTTATTCGCCACATTTTGGTGGTCTTTGGGAGGCAGGAGTTAAATTAATTAAACATCATCTCAAAAGAGTTATATCAAATGCACACCTTACTTATGAAGAATTTTATTCGTTATTAACCCAAATTGAGGCAATAATAAATTCGCGCCCATTGACGCCGCTGTCAGCCGATCCCAATGATTACACAGCTTTAACCCCAGCGCATTTTCTTATTGGTCGTCCAATAACCACAACAGGCGAAAAACAATTCACAAGCATCCCGATAAATCGACTTACACGCTATCAGCTGACACAACAGCTATCACATATGTGGGAACGCTGGAACAAAGAGTATATTTCTGAGTTACAGAAAAGAACCAAATGGGTATCTACTAAAGGAGATAAGGTTGACGAAGGCCACCTAGTTTTAATCAAAGAGGACAATTTGCCACCCATGAGGTGGAAACTTGGTCGCATCATTGAAGTGATTTGTGGTCGCGATGGTGTAGCACGTGTTTTTAAAATTAAAACTTCTAGTGGTGTCGTAACACGATCTTTTTCTAAAATATGTCCGTTGCCCTTAAACGACGACGTAGAGAATAATTAAAAGCAGTGAACAAACTAAATATATTGAATTCATGTAGACATAATATAAGTTAGTATTAGGTAGTTAGGCTTAAAATTTATATGTTCGATTATAGCATGTTTAAAATTAAAAGGCAGTCATTTTTACAAATTATATTTTACTTATACTTATATATTTACCGAATTTATAATGCACCAATTGAGATATTCTGCTACTTCATATGATATTATTAGATATTATCTATATGTAAAGGGTATTGCCATATCAATGTATTTTTCTTTGTTTTTTGTTTGTTTTTTTTGGCAATACTTGCCAAGGCCGGGGGCATGTTTACGCTTGGCCCATATATTATAAATTATCTGTTTAACAAGTGCATAATATTTACAAGTAAAAGCAATTACCACGAAAAGGGAGAATCAATTCTTCTATGACATCTGGAAGATATCAGCCGTCAAGTGGCTGCAACGCCGCTTTTTGGTGTATTTTCTACCTACTTTTAGTATTTTTTGGACATTAAGAATTTAAACTTAGTCATAAACACAACCATGTTAAAATAAAGTTTTGTTTTTTGTTAAACCATGTTTTAATCGCGCAACAACATTCTCAACGCAACGAACAGAAGCAAACAAGAATACATTACAAAATTATAAATTAAAGCCAAATATTAGAAACTGGGGCAAATATAATCACCGATTACATTTACCTCTGACTCTGTGATTACACTTACCCCATATATAGATTTTCTGGGGTAAATATATCAGTGTTTTAATGTACCTACATAAATTTACAACAAGCTGAAAATCAGTTAAATTGTTCAGAATATAATAATAATTAAAATTTTAAAGTTCCCCATCATTTCCCTGTATGGAAAATTTTTTATTCAAGGTCAAAGGTCAAAAAAATTATTTTTCGCAATTTTCAGCAAAACGGTAAGTTTTATCATAAAAATACACCAAAAAAATTGTAGATCATAAAATAATATATAAAAAATGTATCTTTACTTTTTTTTCTACGAGCCACCGTTTCTGAGATATAACGATTCGAAAAGTTGTAAAAGTTATAATCGTCATAATATGCACACGTTTCCACGCCACCTATGAGGTAGTTTACTTACCGCGTTTTTTAACGTGGTTTCCCCAGTAGGCCTATTTCACGGGACAGTTGTGATCCTGTTTGAAACTATTGCAAAATATCGGAAATTAGCAATGATTAGTAAAGATAATAGCGATGTAAATTTAAAAAAGGTACTGAAGTTTATTCGTCTGATTCGTAACATTTAAATTCTTAATCTTCTTGATCTTCACGTTCTTGTTCTTCTTCTTCTTCTTGTTTTTCTTCTTCTTCATCTTCATCCTGGGTACAAGACTTGTACTACAAGTAAATTGCGTCAATAGCAATGTATCGCATGTCACCTCGTTGGAATTAAATGAATCCTTCACTGTTGGTGATTCAACATTAGAGCACAACCGGCCTTGACAATTCGTACATGCCAGAGAATAAAATTTAGCACTGCATGATGCAGTCTGCATCCCTTTTTGCAGCAAAAAAATTGTGTTCATCAATTTTTCCGCCGCAGGTGGGAGTAAAGTTTGAACTGGTTCTAATGTGTTGTTGACCAATTTCCAACCCCAGTCTGTAGGGTCTAGCTGATAAGTTATCAGTGATAACCAAGCCACACTTGAACTTGGTAATATACTCGAAAAAGATGTTGATGAGCAGCAACTGAGGTTGGAGGAAGACAAGCTAATTGAACTTGTTTTTTACTTTTAGAATTTTTAACGAAGCATGCATATCGATACTTATCAAAGCAGGTAGTTTTTTTAGGAGCTCCGTATATATAAAGAAGAAATCTAATGCCGTTGGTAATAACTTCTTGTCCCGAAGCACCTTTTCCTCGAGTTTGGCCGAAAAATCTCCGCTCGTTCGAAAGTTAAGCGAAGACAACGGAACGTGCCAAATTTGACGAAAAAATCGAAAAAAAAGTGGACTTGGGCCATTTCGACACCGGAAAAATTTGGTCCGCGGATAGGTCTCGTGAGCAGAAAAAAAGGATCCAAATTTCAACCTTCAACGGCCTCCGAGCTACGGCGCTTAGAAAAAAAAGGATATACAGACAACGGAAAAAATAAATATTGCAAACGGTCCGGATCCGCCAGAAACTTTTCGAACAGCGTTCTTTTTTTTAATTTTTTTCGAAAAATTTTCAAACGTTTTTTAGGGCGAGAGAAATTTTCGAAATTGGCCGAACGAAATACACGAATCGACGGGTAAAAGACCAAAGTTTGACATACTAAAAGATGAGCTTCATCGAAAGAGAACTAATCGGCCAGAAGCCCGTTTAATTTTTGTTGGGTATTTAAAAAAGTTAACCAATTAAAATCCTCAAAATCAAATCGATAAGGTGGCAAATGACAGGTGGCATATGACAGGTGACAGATGACAGATAATAGGGGACAGATGTCAAGTTGACAGATGACTAATGACAGTAGACAGATTACTAATGACAGTAGACAGATTACAATTGACAGATAACACATATAAGGTGACAGAAGACGTAAGAAATATAAAATTCATCATTAAAATTACTACCCAGTTTAGGTGGAGCGGTCGCGGCGCGATTCCCACCCGCTGCGAGCACCAACTATAGCAGGTCACACAATTGACCATAAGACAGATCATCTGTCATCTGTCACAGATGTTGTCTCGGGGTTTCAATGGCGTACAAATTAATTAATTTATACCCAGTCCCTTAAGGAACGGGTGTATTCCACTTGATATTCTTATAGTTATAACTTATGTAGGTATACTTTATATTTTAAGTGTAAGTTAAAATGACCGATACAAAAATATTTTAATATATATTACAACTCCAGAGATGTATATATGTGGCATACTCATGCTTATTATGACGATTACAACTTTTACAACTTTTCGAATCGATATATCTTAGAAATGGTGGCTTGTAGGAAAAAAAGAATTAATACATTTTTTATAGATATGATCTACAATTTTTGTTTGAGATATTTTTATGATAAAACTTACCGTTTTGCTAAAAATTGCGAAACTAATTTTTTTGACTTTTGACCTTCAAAAAAATTTTTTTACAACTTTTCGAATCGATATATCTCAGAAACGGTGGCTTGTAGGAAAAAAAGAATTAATACATTTTTTATATATATGATCTACAATTTTTGTTTGACATATTTTTATGATAAAACTTACCGTTTTGATAAAAATTGCGAAACTAATTTTTTTGACCTTTGACCTTCAAAAAAATTTTTTCCATACAGGGGAATGATGGGGAACTCAGCTTGTTGTAAATTTATGTACCTTCACTGTTATTTTTTGGTCTAATTTGACTGGACTATATAGGTACAGATTTTTGTTTTTGGAAAATAGTTTCATTCAAAATATTTAAAAATAAAACCCCTCGACCGCCACGCGGTCTCGTGATTTTATTAAATTATTTTTCATTCAACGTTTACCAAGAAAAACCAAACAAAAAACTACTGAGCCTGTTGTGATATAATATATATATATATATATATATACCTACATATATGAATAAATTGTATAAATTAATGTTTTGTTTTTTTAAAACTGTGTACCTAATTGGGGTGGTACATAGTTTCATTGCTTGGCCTATTTTAATTTTTTAAACTTACAGCATTTATGTCAGCATGGATTTGTCTTAATTCCTCCACATGAGACATTTTTTCTTGTAAAAGCATATCCATTTCCTGTTTGTATTCTGATAAACATTTTTCCTCTTGATCTTGTGTCTCCACTTCAAAAACTAAACGGGCTTTAAGTTTTTCAAGTTGAATCGTTTTTGCTCTAAAATTATTGATTTTATGTTAACTTCTTTATAAATGTAACAAAACGCTTACCTTATTTCCTTAAGAGCTTCTAATTTGGCGAAAACCTGTCTATCATCAGTTGTAGTCATTTTGGATAGTTTATTCTTGTAATAAAATCTTTAAACAAGTTTGTTTATTGTATCAAATACCTACAGCAGTCACATAAAACGCTGTCAAAATAAATGGGGGAGGATCAGTGTCGCCAATATTAGTTTCAACGCTGAAAACAACAGCTTGATTCTTAAATAACCATACTTTAATTCTTAAATAAACACAATAACGTTTTACCTTGTAACGTTAATTTGTAATTCGTTTCTTTATATATATATTAAATATAATAGAAACAAATAAACATGGATTTTATTACTTTTACTTTATTCGCCGTTGCCAGCTGTACCAAAAAGCGCTAAAAATGAGAAATATAAAGACACCCATTTTGTTTCTTTCTTAACTTTAACCGGTGGGCGAAATTTTACTTCGCCCTCGGTCTAAAGTTGGCTCTAAGTTAAAATTGGAAAAAAGTAAGGTAAAAATGTCAGATAAAATATGAAATAAAATTGACTTAAAATACCTATATATAAAATTTTGACCAATATTTTATTCAACGACCACAAGATATATCTTGTGGTCGTTGAATAAAATATTGGTCAAAACTTTTGATTCAAAAGAGGAGATTTTACTCACAAACTCCATGCTTAAGAAATCTTAAATTCTAAGAAAATTTTCTTTCTCCCACTAGTTGCACAATATTCTAAAAAGTGTTATGATACAAAGATCTTTGTATCCCATGGTTCAATAGTGTGTCAATAGTGTGGTCTGTGGTCAATAGTGATTAAAAGTTAACTTATAAAACAATATTAATTATAGTTCTAATTGTAATAATTTTAAAATTATCGTACAAAAGGCGTACGATAAATTATCGTACGAAGGTTCAAATTATCGTACATCTGGCAACATTTCATTACGTTAGTGCACTGCAGGATAGTTAGTGAAGGCTCCGAAAATACCTAACATCTGTGTCAACCTTTATAATCTGTGGTGTCAACACTGTTAACAATTCAACTTGACGTTTATGTTCTGTGCTCCTCTGTGATTGAGTCCTTTACGCTTGTAGATCACATTTGTACAGATTTTCTGTGTAGTTAGTGACTGGTATTTAAAAAAAATGAAAATTATCATGAAATCTACCGTTTTGCCTTTGCTGGTAGTTTTGTTTTGTAGTTTTAATGAAGGTTTGTGCTGTTAATAATATCTTGTTTTTTATTTGTGTTTTTGTTAAAACTAATTGATTGATTTTAGGATGTGGGGACGATATAGATATTAATAATTCGACCATTACTGATATACCAATTACTGAAGTCAATCCTCCAACAAGTAAGTATCACAGTAATTTGCCTGTATGGTAATATTGCATTAAAATTTATAATTTTGGTTCTAAAAAAACAAATATGCGTTTTTTACCTATTATTTTAAACTTGAATTTTACCTTGTGGTAATTATTGATGACATTAGCAAATACAGGAGTTTTGTTCACCCCTTAATTAATTTTGCTAATTATGGGTTTTTATAGGTATTGCCATTGCCTGAAAAACGGCGTAACCGTAAAATACAGTGCATCTGGCAACCCTACCAGGGGCGGATCCAGAACTTTGGTTTGAGAGGGCGATAGCCTATTTTTTTTTTATAAGAAATTTATTTCGAACAATCATGTGTTACAAACCTACAATGCTGTCACACATTAAACAACTCTGAAAGTAAGGTTAAGAACCCAAGCAGTACTTACAGAATATTATCAGGGATGCCAGAATCTGAATTACAAAAATGACACATTGACGTTTACAAAAATAAGAATTTGACGTTATTCATTATTGTTAATGGTGTCATTTTATAAATTAAGGGGCATTTAAACAATCTAGCGGATTTTTAAGGCCGTATTACAGCCGGCAATTGCAATGAAAATTGCCACAGGCATGCGCGGTTGAGACATTTCGACGAATCTCTTGCAATTGCCGAAAATCGGTCCGGATGGATTTTTATTGCCGTTTTACGGCAATTCTGGGGTGAAATCTGGTAACTTTTATGTTACCAACCCTACTACAAATTCCCTAGAGAGACGCTGTTTGACTTAAACAGTTTAAGGTTATTTGTTTTATGATTGGCATTGTGTTCAAAGTTCTAGTATCCATTTCACTCATTAATTTTTAAATATCTCCACTAAATAACAAATAAACTTAGTGTTTACAAAATCGTATATTTTTCTTCGGTTGGTAGCACGGTAATAAACAGCAAGTTTTCTTGCCATTGCCGGCTGTAAAACAACATGCAAGACGGCCTTGAAAACTAGATGGCAAGAAAAATTGCTGCAAGAAAAATTGCTGCAAGAAGAATTGCCGGCTGTAATACGGCTTTTAGAAAGAATATGACATCACTGATTATTATAGAACGGTATACAGTGTCCGTTTTTCGAGGCCAATCACGGGTATCTCGCTTATAATCTCGGCAGTTTTGAAAGCTGGTAAAAAGATTTTGGCAGATTTAAATTACCCGTAAAAAAGTTTCTTAAAGTCCCCATTTCATGTTGACGCAGGAAGCTAGATTTTTAGCGTCAAAACAGTTACAGGTAGGGTTGCCACCTTTTAAGCTTGGGGTTGTAGGACATAAAAAAAAGCCCGCCGCGAAAATTTTTCCAAAAAAAGGGGGCATTATCAAAATCAAAACAAGTTCAACAAAAATGACCAAGGTCCAATTCCTTCCAATATTAACTTTATTAACTGGAACATTAAATGAATAACTATTATACCTACGTAGGTAAATTAGTTATTCGTTTAATGTTCCAGTTAATAAAGTTAATTTATTTAGGTACCTAAATCAATACATTTTTACAACAAAAACAAAACAGCATTGCAGTCAGATAAAAATAATATGGTAAATATATTATTTTATGTCAGTTAAATCTTAAATCTATTTTTGTGGCGCCGATTCCCTAAACATTACCTAACCTACATTATACATTACTTTAAATTAAAAATAACCTTTTATAATTTAACCATTACAATTTATAAATCCATGAAACACCGAATCTGCGGATTCAATGCTGGGATTCATGATTATATAAAATAAGCAAGGCAGGCTCAAGAAAACAACACAGATTACAGTAAAATAAATCAATAATGTGGCAACGCAACAAGCAATTGCTTAACCTGCGGTTAACCGTCTGCTATTGCAAATGGCGTTAGTAAGAATCTTAAGTAGTGGTTTTTAAAATGCGTTATTTGCGCAGCGCGAACTCCTCTTAAGTTAGGAGGAGTTCGCGCTGCGCAAATAACGGCCAACATCATATTTTATTGTTCAAAACCTGTTATTTTATTGGTTTATCGAGAAAAATATTTTTGACAGAGCACAATAAAATACATAGAAACATATTTCATTTAAAGGAGAACGAAGGACATGATCTTATCAAAAGAGGACTGTCCTCCACAAGGGAGGACGGGTGGCAACCCTAGTTACGGGGTCAACCTTTGACCCTCGAAAATACGACGGTGAAATTTATTTAGAAACCTTTTTGACGCTTAAACCAACCGTCAACAGTCGGCGACTGTCAGTCTGACATAAATCCGCCACAGCAAAAATTTCTAACTTTTACATTAATTAATAAACTGTTATAGTAATTATGTTAAGAAAAATTGATAACTCACAACTCGTTCGCAACAATTAGATGACATTTTTTAGACAGTTGTGAAATAATTTCTCTTCACAATAAATACAGAGTGTCCCATAATTAGCGTGCAATACTTTAACAGCAGATTCTACGTACAAAAATAAGAAAAAAAGTTCCTATAAACATAGGTTAAGAAATGCTTTCTAAGGGAACTACAGCCCCTTAATGAGGAGCCCCTGAAGATGTTTTTTATTTAATGTATCCAAAACCTTTCAAGGCAGAAAAGTAAAATTTTGGGAATTAATCAAACTTTTTATGGCCAAGATGTAATAATAACAATTCAAAATTTCCATGAGGGGTGGGTCAGATAGATAGGGAATAGGGGTTTAAACTTTTTGTACGTGTCTCGTGCTAGGATTTGATGTCAGATTATAAAATTTCGGAATTTTAAACACAAAAAAGGTCCTCTTGTTAAACTTTGATATTGTCCACTGTTTTCGATTAAAATCCATTTAACAATTACCTTACATAGCATAAAAGATCATAATGAATTCACAAGAGAGAAAAAATCAGAGTAGGCCATGGAACACAGCTGCCATCTTTAGGAAAAATTATTTAAGACTGGTGACAGTTTCATGTAATATGTGACAGGGTGTTTAAAAATTGTCCATGGCCATGTTTAAAAATTGTCCATGGCCTACGCTGAATCTTTTTCTCTAGTTGTGATTTCATTATGAATTTTTATGCTATGTAAGGTAATTTTTAAATCGATTTTAAGCGAAAACGGTGCATGCCATGCAGTTCATCAAGAGAACCTTTTTTGTGTGTAAAACTCTTAAATTTTATGATCTGATATTAAATCATAGCACAAGATACGTACAAAAAAGTTTTAATTTGTTATTATTCCAACTTATTGGCTATAAAAAGTTTGATTATATCCCAAAATTTCACATTTCTATCTTTAACAGTTTTGGAGATATTAAATAAAAACCATCTTCAGGGGCTCCTCTTTCAGGGGCTGTAGCTCCCTTGGAAATCATTTCTCGACCTATTTTTATAGGAACTTTTTTTATTATTTTTGTACGTAGAATCTGCTGTTAAAGTATTGCACGCTAATTATGGGACACCCTGTATAAGTATCCAAGTTTTGAAAAGCGTCCTTTTCATTACTTCCCACTTTTAATTCGAGTTTGGCCTTGCAAATAAAAAGATTATTTTTATTAGCAACGACGCCATACAAAATGTTTCGTTTACATTGCGGTCGAATCTTTAAGGGTTCTATAATTTAAACTTTATTTTTGTCAACACTCACTACCAAAGTGATTGATTATTACCTAGGCTGTACAAAAAATTTATGCCAATCACATATAAGTTTTTTACCTCCTAGTCTGTAAACTAACTACTAATTTTATTTATTAGGTGATTTCGCGGTGCTAATCCCGAACTAGTTTGGACATCCTAGGCATGCGCATTTTAATATTTGTCATGCGAACTTTACATTTGGAAACTCATGCCTAGGATGTCCGGAATTAGTTCGGGATTAGCTCTGCGAAAATAGCTTTTATTATTATATATAATTGCACGTTTCATGTAGGTATCGTTTAAAAAATAAAATTTTGCCTTGATGATAAAATATTGTGTGCCATTTGGCTGAGAAGTATCTTTTTGTGCTTTTCTTAAACTTTGAGGTCAGCACAAAAAGACTCACTTCTCAGCGTAATGACATAGGTAAATAACTTTTGTTTATACCAATTGTCAGATTATTATATTATTTTAATTTCTTACCAACCAATAGGTATAGCATAAGTATGTATCACAGCAGTTACTTTAATAGGTTTAAATATGTCATCAGAGTACTTAGTACCTAAATAATTCATATATTAAATGAATATGAATTTAATATAATTTATTTTTTTTGCTTTTTTTTAAATCGAGGAAAACTAGGTACATACTAAAGGTAGAATGCGAGGTTGATTAGATCTGACAGTAGTCTAATTTTTTGACTAATAGGTAAAAAAACTTTACCCAATTGGTCTAAATTATTTTTACAGCCTGGTTTGATTAAAGATAATAAATTCATTTTAATTGGTTTATTGTAATTGTAGTTTTTTTGGACAATATTGTTTGGTTCATTTGATAATTGGTTTTAATATAGAATTCATAAACAAAAGATTGTTTTAAAATTATATTTATTGCTATAGTTAATATTAGTATTCACATAATATGTCATATGTTCATATTATGATAACCTTTGACTACATAATTTTTATTTGGAATTTTATTTTAATTTTATGTTATCAATGTTATTTGTTAATTTGTATTTTTAACATAAGGAAGTGGTTTTTTATTAAATTTGCGTTCATTAAGCTTTTGTTGTCAATGAATTTATTTGAACACATGTTTTTAAGTACATATAATGATTAACAAAATTTATCTTATTAGTTAATAATTCTAGTTTTTTAAATAATAAACGTAAGGTTTATAGGTATATTTGTTTAAATTATTAAATTGATACCCAATTAAAAAACTAGAAATATTTATACATAATAAAATTCATCTGTTCCAAACTGTTATATTGTAAAAAAAAATATTAAATTTTTTTTTCTCCCCCATTATTGTACTACCATGTTTCCATGAGACTAAGTGATCTTTTAAATACACATTGACAAGTTGTGGCTTTATGGCGGTTTAGTCACGGGCTAAAATTAGCAACAGG